TATTTTTTGAGAAATTTTTGAATATTACTCGAGATTATATTACATCTTTGTGATCGACTTAAAATTTTTCATTATTTTTGAAACTTTTATTAAATTATAATTGATATATTTATTCAAAAATACTTCTAAATATCTAAAAAGTAGTATTTTTAGTTTTATAAATTTTAAATTTGTGTGATTTATTATACAATGACTGTCACGTCAGTGCCTTTATATTTAATTGACTACATAGTTAATTATTTTTAATATCCTAAGAAATATAGACCTCTTATCTTATAATCACTCTCAATCATTTGTTTTGTATTTAAATACTAAAAAATAATGTGATCATAATAAAATGTTATACAACAATTTAAATGTTTTGTACTATAAATTATATGACATAAATTCGTATGAATTGAGAGAACATGAATTGTTAAAGCTAAAGTGATCATCTAGCCTAATGGAGCATTTGTCATCTATTGTGACTTTACTACAATCTATTATTGTCACTATATCATTATCTTGCTTATGTTGCTATGATGTAAACTAGGCTGGAATATTAGTTATGTGATATAAAGCTTCAAAGTTGACAACTCAAGAATTATGTGCTTGGTGAGAAACTGTGCTTAAGGTTGTACTCGAGTGATGTTGTAGATTTAACAATTATTAATTATTAATTTGAATTGACTACAAAAGTGCTTAAAGTTTCACAATGTCAAAAGTAATCAGCTCATGAATTAAAATATTAGAGGAACCTAATATGGATTATCATAAGTTCTATATTCAATCAATCTGATATTTGATATCATTTGTCCCATTTCTAACTTTCTTTTGGACTATCATTGACCTTTGGTTGCTTTAATTTTACTATCATAACTAAATAAAGTTGAATATTCCCTCACTTTATGCTTGAAACATTTAAGAGTGTTATTCATTACTTATCTTCTCCTTTCTTCAATCAACACTTTATAGTATACTTCTTCAAGTGAGGGATATGATCCAAGTTTTAAGATTGACTCTTCAATAGTTTACATTCACCATTCAGGTCTGAATAAACTTAAAAACTCTATCTTTTTAAAGATATCTCAGATATCTTTTCTAATATTTTACACAAGATAAATACTTCATATGAAATGAACTCAACACGTCCATATGTTCCATACAGCTGCAAACTAATTTTAAATAGGCAAGACATGTATTTAAGTTTATAAATATTAAAAGTTAATTGGTAACACCTAATTATGTCTTGTTGATAATCAAATGTTTCCTCTAGTTTTTTCACATATTACTAGCTTTTTGTTTATGTATTAACATTTGTTAAACTTTTGGACTAATAAAGTTCAAGATCCATGACATAATGAAATTATTTTCATGAAATTAGAACTTATATTTAGGATATGTGATATTTAGATCCTTAGCCAAACAAAGTATGTGTCGATTTATCTCAAGGGGCAGTATATAATTTTGTGAAATAATTATGTTATGTTAATTTTGTGGAATCAATTAGTAGATTTGATTCAAAAGTTAGAGAGTCAGCCGTTGTATTTGTATGAGAATTATTGGTAAAGATTTGCACATAAATATCAGATGATAAGGTATTCATTGATCTCCTCTTGTATCATTGATATTTCTTTGTATATTCAATAGTTTCAACCTACTATAGAGTGTTTAATTAACTAGATAGATTGTGCATAATTAAATCAAATGTTAAATATTTCATAACTGATGAAATGAATGAAGGATGTAACTCTAAACAACAACAAAAAATATGTGATGAATCTTGTATTTCAACTATAAATATCATTAAAATATAGTATTCAACCTTCTCAATTAAGAGGTTTGATGATTATAAAATAAATGACAAAGATCTCAAGGAATCTTCTTACATATCTAATAACTTGAGATTGACCTTCACATACCTAATAATAATTATTTTGAGGTCGGGACAAGATCAACCAAGTTATGATAGACACTACGTTAATATCAAGTCATAAAATGAGACAAAGAGACTAATAGACAGAGACAATAAAATTAAGAGATCTATCGATGAGACAAAATTACAAGAAATGAAGATAAAGTAGTAAGCCAGTTAGGTGGCAAGATGAGGCAACTAAATGCAAGACTGTGTAGTACAGTGGTGAGACTACATAAAAGTTAATAGCAAGAGAAAGAGAGAGAGAGAGAGAGAGAGAGAGAGAGAGAGAGAGAGAGAGGGAGAGAGGGACAAGAGAGACAAGGAAAAAATTCTTCAAATTTTATTACAATAGCTCCCTTAAGTTAAAGGACAAACCAACTATATGAACTTTATCTTTGAGGACAAAAATACCTTCAAGGATATATCTCAAATTATTTCGAACACATAATTATCTATCACGACACTATCCCTCAAGTTGAGAGTATATTTCTATCATGTTCAACCTGACCAAGATATTGAGTTAAATCTTATCAATGATAGTCATTTTGTAAAAATATTTATAATTTGATCTTATAATTTAATATGGTTAAAAAAATTAATGACGTAGAAAAACTTTTAACAAGAGGAATGGAAACCCAACTCACTTTTCATTGATATTTATCACCCCTTAAATAAAGAAAGAATCCTATATGATCTTTCTCTATATACTTTAATGCTACAAGTTCTCATGGTGGTCATGGTGTAATTAGGTGCATAGTTACACCACCAATATGAGCAAAATGTGATGGCCTTATGAGTACATATGTAAATTGACATGTCAACACAACATGACATGACATAGTATGCACTATATATGTGCAGGTGAGTGAAAACATGAGTGATAATGCACAATGTGTGTAGAGACACTTGTGGTGTAAGCAGGCAATGGCACCACTAAGTAAGAGTAATGATCGATACTGAGTGATTGTGAACTTGGATGGTGTGACATCTGCATAAACCATACAAGCTCGCATGCCTATTTATTGGGACATGCATACGCCTCTATAACACTATGATGATCCATAATAACCTTGTTATGATAAGGTAATATGTCAAAAATGTGACATTGACACAAGGATGGCCCAACATAGAAAACAGTATCATAAATGTGTGAAGCATAACATAAGAAACACGAGACAAAGTTGTAGAAGCACCAAAGTGCTATGTGACCCCTCAAGAATGCTTTTACTTCCCCCTATAAAAGGGGCAAATCACAACTTGGTTGAAAAGTAAGATTATCTCATATTTCATATAATTCCTTTTTGTAAAGAATTTGTGTCCCCTTTTGTGTGTGACAATCTTGTGAAATTGATTGAGTGAAAAAATATGTTCAATCCTAGCATTAAAGTAGCATATTACAAGAAAGTTATGCATATGATAACTTTACAATCATAGTGTCTTTTATTTGATTACTTTCTAACACATTTTATCTGAATATTAACTTCAAGTTGAGCAATTTACCCCGCTTTTACTATTCTCTCACACAAAGATGCTAAGGATGGATTTGAAGATCGATTTATCCTTATATATAATAGAATGGGTCATGAATGTAGATACTTTCAAAATCACACCACAGTATGTTATTTTTTTATTAAAGCATTAGAAGATACAAAATCTTATTGAGAAATGAATATTCAATTAAGTCCACTTATATGAGTATCATTTCCTTTTTTTGGGTGCCAAATAGATGGAAAATGGCCATTGGTCAGGACCCAAAAGTTAATTTGTAGGTATCTTTTTGTTGCTTAGCACTATTAGCTTTGACACTTTTTTACACAAATTAGGTTAACTAACTCATTTTATGAAACAATGAAAGGTTAAAAATATAATCACTTGGTCCCAATTTTTCACAACACATTTAAGGGCTAAAATAGAATCATATCAACATTTTTTCTGAATTTATACACACATATAATCATGAAAAATGACAACTTTACCCTAATGTCTTGTTCCTCATATCTAAATGGGATTGGCTCTCATTACCACCTTAATTAATTGATAATAGGCATTATGTTTGCCCTGCCATAACACATTTGAAGCTAAACCACTTCATAAATCATACTACACCACTTCTCCCCAGATTATGTGATCAAGTGAGACACCCATTTGGTTTGTTGAAGGAATGAGCAATAGCCCAAAATAAATTTTGAATTATAAATTGAGGTTGTTCTAATTTACTTTAGGTCCTTCCTCACTTCTTTTGATTTTCTCTTGAAGGAATCTAAAACCCTTCTACTCCAGCAAGATGTTAAAACATTAGAGATAGCTTTAAAATAACGTAGGTCAAAAACTGAAAATTAGAAATAATGTGTTGCCTCGAGGATATTAGCTTAAGGAATGATTAAATCAATGTTACTAAAAGTAGTTGGTTGTCTATATTAGAAGCGTAATCCACCTTCACCTAAAAATAGCATAAAAAGAGGTCAATTAGCTATGATTCAAGTAGAAACTTATTATTGTTCCAATAATTATTACACACATTACTAGAAAAAGAGAATTCTTATTTTTTATATAAATACCAGTGATTATATAAATTTGGTATCCTAGAAGAAGGCTTCATAGATTAGCTTACTAGAAGAGTCTCTGTTGTCCGGCCCAAAATCCCCACCCATCATCGCTGGGCAGTAGAATTTTATTCAATTAATTAAGAGGAAATACGATAAAAGTCTTCTTTAGGGGAAAGGCCATCGGTCCAATTGATCGCCGCCGAAGATCGGACGGCTGAGAAGCCTAGATCTCGTTTGAACGAGGTAAAGAGGTCGCCTCCGCAGAGAGATTCACGACGGGCATGATTGCCTCGAAGTCAAAGTCAACTATATAAAGACTAACAGAGCAGCTCACCGTTACCTAACGTTTCCGTCAACAGAAAAAAAAAAAAAAACGGCATACGTACTTTAAAAAAGACTGAAATAAAGCTAAGCCCTGGCACTGTTACCGTCACCGTTAACGGAAGGATTCGGCTTTCACACTGTGGATAGCGCGTTGTTCCACAGCTTGCATAAACGAAGGCCGGAGGGTAGGCGATTGAGTGGCGGGGGGGGGGAGGGGAGGAGAGGAGGAGGTCATGGATCCTTGGCCGCTGTCCAGCCAACAGGCGTTCTTCGCCGCCGTCCGCTCGGGGGATCTGGAAGCCCTCCGGCGGATTGTTGAGGGAGGGGATGGAGCTGTGGAGACGCCAGCTGTGGCCTTCATGGCGATGCAGAACGAGGAGGGACAGACGGGGCTGTACGTCGCTGCGGCGGGGAACCAGGAGGAAGTGTTCAGGTACCTGGTGAAGTTCTGTGACTTCGAGACGGCGGCGACCAAGTCGAACGTCGGCACCACCGCCCTCCACGCGGCTGCCAAGAACGGCCACATAGGTGAGGATCGGCTCTTCTGTGCGGCGAGTCGGCTGTTAGGGTCCTGGTGATGTTCAGTGAGTGGTGTTTGATGGCTAAATATGTGACCTTGGGTGGCTGTTTTGAGGCCGACTTCAATCGAATCGCGGACTTCGTTTCCCGAATTAGGTTCCTGGAGATCCGATAAATTAGGGGGAAACGTGATTTCTGCCGAGATCGTCTTCGCCCCAGACTTTCATATCCATTTTTTGTGCGCAGATGCTGAACGATGCGTTAACAGATTGGCCCTCTGTCGATGTTTTTAATTCTCTTTTGATCGAGTCTTTCAGACTAGAGTAGCATATCTTGTGCATCCGGGGTCTGAACTTGTGGTGATTCTCGTCCAGTGTGGATGTCCTGAACTGACAGATCCGTATCATGTCCAGGTATCGTTAAAGAACTTTTGGTCTTGTGGCCGGAACTCTGCAGGATTTGTGATCCAACTGACACTAGCCCTCTCTATGTGGCCGCTGCTGCTAAGCACTATGAGATTGTGAAGGCCATTCTAGATGTGGACAGAAGCTGCATCCGGATCGTCAGAAAAAATGGGAAAACGTCGTTGCATCATATGGCGAGAAATGGCTACTATGGGATTGTCAAGGCACTCATAGATGCGGATCCTGGTGTGGTATCTATCACGGATAAAAAAGGTCAGACCGCACTTCATATGGCTGTAAAAGGTCGAAACCCCGACGTTGTTGAGGAGCTGCTACTCGCTGATCTCTCTATTCTCAACGCGCGGGACAAAAAGGGCAACACCGCTCTGCATATAGCCACAAGGAAATGGCGTTCAGAGGTATGATCTTAGCAGCAAACTTCATTCCCCATACTGTTTCTTCTGCCACCAAACGCATAATACTGCATATTTGTTCTGGCAAACCCTGCCATCCTGCTCTATCCGAACTACTTTTCTGATGTAAGGTATCGGTCGGTCGGGCGCAAGCTGCAAGACCATGTATCGAAATCTAGTCCTAAAGAGTAGCTTCCAGTCTCCTTGCCTTTGCATCATGTCTGCTACGATTTTTATGTAGCTTTGGTCTCTCCTCTACGACCACTTTTTCTTCCAGATGTTATATTCTTCTGCTCTGTGCCTGCTGCTCGAGGACAACATGAGTTTAAGCCGGCCCATTCCTGTCAGCACTTTTCGCTCGGTAGAAATGATTTCATATTGTTCTTACTGGTTGTATAATTGTGTCTCGTGGATCTCGATGGGTCTCTGTGAGTTCCTTACTCATGCTTTTGAATGTGATGGAATGAGTTGACTACTAAATAGCTTTTGTGTTGTTCGTGTAGTCTGAATGAAATATGCACAGACTCAGGTGTTCGAATGTTATGTTCTGAAGTGGACTCATTTCCTGATGAACCCTCGGACTAATTCACCTTTCTTTCTCTCAGAATATTCACCTTTTGGTGAGCTACCCATCCATTGAAGTCAACGCTCTGAACAACCAGAAAGAGACCGCAATGGATCTAGCTGAAAAGCTCTCATACGAACACGTGTTGGAAATAAGGGAAACCCTCCTGGAAGCTGGAGCCAAGCATGCGAGTAATCTCACCCGCGTTGACGAACACTCAGAAGAGTTGAGAAAGGAGGTCAGGGACCTGAAGCAGGATCTCCATTCTCAGCTCAGACAGAACGAGAAAACGAACAAACGGGTCTCGGGGATCGCCAAAGAATTACAGAAGCTCCACCGAGAAGCCGTCCAGAACACCATCAATTCAGTAACCGTGGTCGCGGTCCTGACCGCCTCCATTGCGTTCATGGCCATCTTCAACCTCCCTGGTCAATATGAGTCCGACGGCGAAGACGTCGGAAAAGCCAACGTCGCCGACAGCATGGGCTTCCGTGTGTTCTGCCTCCTGGATGCCACCGCCCTGTTCATCTCTTTGGCCGTCGTCGTGGTTCAGATCACCCTCGTCGCATGGGAGACCGGCGCCCAGAAGCAAGTCGTGGCCGTCGTCAACAAGCTCATGTGGGCGGCCTGCGTATGCATATGCGGCGCCTTCCTCTCCGTAGCGTTTTTGGACGTGGGGCCGGTGGCGCCGTGGATGGCCATCACCATCACAGTGATTGGAGGTCCGATGATCGTCGGAACCCTGGGGGTTATGTGCTTCCTGGTCTTCCGGCGGTACTTCAAGCTCAACGACGACTCCCAGAGGATCATCAGGAGGACGAGCGGGAGCAGGTCCTTTTCCTGGTCCCGCTACTCGGCCTTCTCCGACCCTGAGGCTAACTACTCCGACCACGAGAAGAGCTTCTACGCCCTGTAAGAGAAAGGTATCCCCAGTTGGTGCCATGTTTCACTGTAAATATCATCCAAGGTCTCGTCATCCGAGCCCTCTGAGGGTGGCCCCGGCGAGTGTGGGATCAGATAATGCTGCAAGTCTATGTAATTGGCTTCTGTATGCCCTGCTAGTAGATGAATCTACCCCTGGAAATCGGAATTCTTCCTTCTCATCGTCCCATCAAGATCTTGGAAGAGTGAAGGCTCAGCCAGTTCTTCATTCTTCAGTCCGGGCCTGGCTAAAAGCCCCAAGGAGGAGGAGGCGGTGGCGGCTTCTGCTTGTGAAAGTCCACCGGAGCAGGGGCAAGAAATGGGCAGGAGAGAGAGGGAGGAAGGGAGAGGAGCCCTTCTGGCCAGCACATGGCGTCTTCTGCTTGTGAAAGCCCACCGGAGTAAGGACAAGAAATGGGCAGGAGAGAGAGCGAGAGAGAGACAGGAAGGCGGACTGAAGCTCTACCCAGAGAGAGAGAGGATGGAGTATGAGAGAGAGAGAGAGAGTGACTGGGTGAGCTCAATTTCCAGTTCTATTGACTCATATCATGTCCGCATCCGGTGAGAAATAATTGAGCCTGGGCCCCCTCCAATTAGCCAATAATTAAGTCTGACCCGTGTACCTTGCACTTTCCGTCTCATTTGACCCGATACGGTCCTTGTATCTACTGATCCAATCCATTGTACAGGGATCGGGTCTCAGAGTAATGAGGCCTAGTTAAATAGCAACCCAAGCCCAATAGCAAGAATAAGCCCAGTAATAAGCACGAGCCCAATATTAGAATTTGCCCAGAATAGCAACCATAACAGCACCAAATCTTAAGGCCCAATAACGATTATTACAGAGCCCAACAGCAGAGCAGGAATTGGCCCATCCCAATACAGAAAACAAGCCCAGTAACGAGGCCCAAAAATATTAGTAGACTGTCCCCAACAGTCTGAGCCGTTCTTTTTCCCCCGCAAGAATATGGAAATTCGAACTTCTTCTCGGAGCCGAAAGTTCAGGAGAGTGAGTTAGAGAGAGTTAGAGAAAGAGAGAGAGAAAGAAAGAGAGAGAGAAAGAAAGAGAGAGGCATTTTAAAGGGTACCTCACTGGAGGTAAAGGCTCGGAGGCGGGAAATGAAACCGTTAACGGCTACCCGTCTATCGCGTCCCCAGTCCTCTTATAAGCAGCATCGCCAGCGCCATTGCACCTACGATCCCATCGCTCTCCTTCTCCCTCGCTTGATCTCTCCTCACGCAGCCACCCTCTCCATCTCTCCATAAATCTACCCACAGGCGCGTCGTTGCTTCTGCTGCCATGGCGGACAATGGCTGCCCTCTCTGCTACAACAGCTTCGCCAGCAAGAGAGGGCTGTCGGGGCACATGAGGACCCATACATCGACGGAGCGGAGGGCGGCGGCGACGCTGATTGCCTTGAGGCATTCCAACGAAAGCGACTCCTACGCGGGGCCGGCGAGGTTGGTGTGGACCACGAAGGGGAGAAGGAGCGCCCGCTTCCTTGTCCCCAGCGGCGAACAGTCGGCTGTGCGTCTCGAGTCCCCAGAGAAGTCGCCGGTCAACGACGGCAAACAGATGCCGGTAATGGCGGAGCCGTGGGTCCTCGAAGTTGTCAAGCGCGAGGAGATGCCCAAACCCGTGGAAGTCAAGCTAGAGCTGCCCCAGCCTGGCGTCGCAGAGGAAGCGGGGGGGCCGTCGGAGACCAAGAAACAGAAGACGGAAGACTCAGCGGCCCTCTACCAGCCTCTGGCTGACGGCCTCGCGGCGGCGCCACCACCGCTGAGGAAGGCGGAAAGAAAGCCAGCAGTGCCCTCCGGGCGAGAGCACAAGTGCAGTACCTGCGGGATGATCTTCCTCACGGGGCAGGCGCTGGGAGGGCACAAGAGGAAGCATTGGCCTGGCCCGGCGCCAACGGGGGGAGCACCCACGCTTCATTGCACTTAGTGTCACATTTGACCTATTACGGTCCTCGTATCTCATGATCAAATTCATTGTATGGGGATCGGGTTTCACACTAATGTGGTGGTCTATTGTAACCACAGTAATGGGTACCCACATTGTAATAAAAGCCTTTTGTTAACCAACTCATTTCAGCGTTGACTTTTCTATATATCGGTCAAATCAATTGTCAGTAGGCTTATCAAGTTAAGCTAGTCATCTGAGCTATTAATATTTGCCCATTTAACATCATGCCGACCTCATGCGTACTAAACCATTCATTTTGTCTAATATTAATAGGTACCCATAGTCTAATATAAAACCTTACACATTTAACATCATGGCAACCTCATGTTTACCAATCCATTCACTTTGTCTAATAATAATGGGTACACACAGTCAAATAAAAACCTTGTGTCTATTAACTCATTCATTGTTGAGTTTTCAATTTAATGGTCAAAACATATTACTGGATTAAGCCAATAATTTGGGTTAGTAATATTTTCCCATTTAACATCCTGCCAACCTCATGTCATTTAACTTTATCTTTTTTTGTTCTAATATGGCCATTACATCGAGTGAGTTAAGCACTTGGGTAGCAAGCTTGTATGCTTGATGTAGATATTATCTAGTGCATTGGTTATGGAAGGCCAAGAGAGAAATTAACAAGTGGGGTTGAATCAAACTTTGTTGAAATTATATCTAATTAATAGTCTTCTATGTGTTCTTCAATGAAGTGAAGTCACTATTTCTACAATTGATTGATTCAAGATTACTCTAGAGACTTAGCAAAATGTATTACTATGGAGTTGAATATTGACCTCGATAGCATCATTTATGTTATGAGTCATTATTATATAAATACGTATGCATATAGCTACTTGTAATTATTATAATCAACGACCATATCTTGTTAGTCTCTTTTCACGTGTAAAATCACACATGAAATACATGGCTTCCATCTTGAACCAACATTAGCCCATTGTATATCAAGATTAATGTACCTCATTTCAGAATGTGAATATGACAGAGGAAACCAAATTACTTGACATATCATTTACTTCTTGGAAAAGTTTATCAAGACATAATTTTCATAATTTCCCATATTCTAAATGTTTTTTTAAGTAATGAATGTACATTTTTTATTGAAAACACCTCACACGGATTTGTCTTTTTAGGTTGTCATCATTAACTAACATATTTATTGAAATACTCTACTTATGAGTTAGTTAACTTGTCATTGAGATACAACATTCTAGAACCTTACTTGGCTTGAGAGTTTCTAGACTAACACTTCAAAACTAAAGTATTGCTTTTTTGTATAGGGGATGGAGAAAATTAAAAGCATGCTATTGCTCTTGTGGTTTTTATTCCATAATAATAATATTAGATTGCAAAAACTAAAATGCTAAATGTTCAAGTGTTTTACTAAGTGTATTACAAGTCAACATGAACTGAACAAGTCTCAATTGATAAAGCTCAATGTTAGGACAATGTGGTAAATTAGTTACTCTCTTCTAACATAAAAAATGTAGCACCTCTGAGAAATTTAAATATTTTTTTCACCATATGAACATTACATTGAAGGAAGTTCAAGGTTCTGTCAAACCCTCTCCTCTGTTCTTGACCAATCCTCTATTTTAAAATTAGTTTTCTTAGCTACTCTATTCTCATTTCTCCTCCCTCCCCCCTAACTATTTAGTCTTCTTATTTGGTAACTGAGGCAATATCATGGTTATATCAATCAACATGAGAAGATTGTACTATTAGATATAATGTCGTCAAAATTGCAACTAGTGATGTGAGCACAATTGATCATATCTTCAACATATCTTCTTAGATATTGCATCAAATTATATAATCAACTCTACTATGTACTAACTTTACAACACTATATAGGCCCAACCAATAGACAATTGGGCAAAGCTTGTTAGTTTTTAACATTATAACTTAGTAGAAAATATTTTAGAGTATACACTACTTCATGAGTCATTATATTGTTAATTGTTAAAATACTACAAGATGAATCAAGAGAGAAGGAGGTGAGGAGTTAGAAATTTTGATTTTATCTAATCACTACTGATTTATGGGTTCAATAAGACCTTGACTAAGCAAAAATGAGTTAACTAACTAGGCAACTTGTATCTCTAAGTTCATATCTTTAGATAATCCCACATAACATTTAATATTAGTTTATTATTCCCTAAATAAAATAAATAAATAAAATGGCAGATAAACCATTCACTATTTTTAGGTAGCTTTTGATAAAATAATGAATGATCATATTCTTGCTATTTAATATCCAAAAAGGTGCAATGAAGCTCCTTTAAATAGTTGTCCAATATTTTTTGTATGAACATTTTATATCTATCTAAAGAATTCACTGAAGGTCAAAGGGATGGAACTATTATATTTTTAAACTTGAGGAAGTGCCTATTTCAAATATGAAAGATCTTTTCACTAATAGTTATTCTAAAGACTCTTAATCATATGACCACTGTAGGAATCAAGTGCGTTATAATATTGTTGAATGTTACTCAATGAGTAGCTCATTGCTAACATATGATTTTATCTTGTTTTACTTTTCCATGTAGTACTAACTCTATTATAATGACAAATCTCTTTTGCATAAGGTAAGTCGCTCATTTTCTTGAAAGAAGAAAAAGAAAATTTGTGTTCCTAAAAGATCACTTATGGAAAATATGAAGATTTTTAATGCTTGCAAGCCCACAAAGCTATTTGCATTCAAGAAAACAATAGTTTCCAACAATATATTTTATTAAAAGCCTACATTTAATAGCCTCATGTTGAAATGAAGAGAAGAAAATAGAATTTGTAGGAACTTTCCTCTATCTCGATAGATAAAAGGGAAAAGTGAGAAATCATTTCACTTTTTTATTAATATCTATCATTCATTAAATAAGGAGGCAATCCTACCTAATATTTTCCTATATACCTATATACTACAAGTTCCCATGACAGCCATCAACATTACATGAGTTCTTATGCATGATACATTGTGATCTACAAATCCTCACTACAAATTCATGTGATGACCATTCATTATGGTGTGAATTCATATAAATGGTGATTACATCATGATTTAGAAATCTAACACTCTCCTTGAAAATGAACTGAGGAATAATCCATCTTAGATTCTAGAGAAAATGAGATAAATAAACACAAAATTGATGATGATGCACATGTTGATGATGAAGATAAATATATCATTGAATTGAGATATACTACCAATTGGTAATAGGAAATTATCATTCAAGCCACAAGTATCTCCAACAAGAAAAAACTTCATCCCTAGATTGGAGGACTGATGGAAGGAAAACATGACTTTGATTGCTAAAAAGAGATCCCACCTTTGAACAGCTAAAGGATAACATGCCTATAAATGGTAGAAAAATAATACATCCTATTGTAAAATGAGACAAGACTATTGTTCAATGAAGATAGTGAGACTAGGAAACTAGTGAGTGAGGTAAAATAGCAAGATAGTGAGTCAAAACAATAAGATGATCAAGAAAACGAGTTGAGTGCAAGATCATATGGTAAGGTAATAATACTATCTAGAAGCCAAGGGCGACCAAAAGAGAGGGGGATGAGAGAAAAATATCTTCCAATTTCTATTATAACAGCTCCCTTAAGTTGCAAGATAAGTTTATCAACTACTAAGGTTGAAAAAGATGAAACAACCAAATCTATTACATGAACTCTAACATTGAGGATGAAATACCCTCAAAGACATATCTCAATTTTATTTTAGACAAAATCATCCACCACAACACTTCTTCTTAAGTTGAAAGTAAATGTAAATGTACATCACATTTAAATTCACTAAGATTGAGTTGAATGTCATCAATGATAGTCTTTTTGTAGAAAATGTATATAACCTGATGTGATAATATGATATAATAAGAGAAAATCTTCTATGTTAAATTTATTTTGAATGAAGTGTTGATCAATTTCAATATACTTGTTATAGAGAATTGTTATGAAGTGATGGAAGCAAAAAAGTATTAGATAACAAAATATCTCTTGAGTTGAAGGCTTATGATGATTAACAAATTCGGAGTAGATGATGGTAGCTTCTATTGACATATTTTTTTATCACTAAGGGATTGAAACATTTATAACCCTTTTCGATAAGTGAATATTCAGGAAAAATACAATTAATTAATTTTTGGTATGTGCATTGTTGTTATGTGATCCAAGTATATGTATAAACACAACTAAATGCCTAATGTGGAAGAGAAAAAAAGGGTTTTTAAGAAATAATAGTGCATAAAGAGTTAATATTTGATGTTAATAAATGGTATTTTATTTATTAAATATGAGGTAGTGAGTATGACATTTGCCCAAAATTTCTTTGAGATATAAGATTGGAGAAGAAGTATATGCGTGATTTCCAAAATGTTTATATTTTCTTTCTCCAATTATATTTTATTGAGATGTATAGATACACTATGACTCATAATTGATACCCTCACTATTCATAAAGATGTTTAGATTTCCTCTAAAGTACCTTTTGGTATTATCAAAGTGATAGATTTTTATCATGTTGTAAAATACTTAGTTCTAAAACCTTCTTTAGATTTCAACAAATGTATATATATTAAATGAGTGAAGTCATCAATAAAATTTAATAAAGTATCTATAACCAATTATCTAAATAATTAGGAATAGCTTCCTACATCAAAATACATAATTTCAAAAGAGAATACTTTTAGTGATAGTTATGTATAATAATGTTTTAGTAACTTATAAGTTTAACACTAAAGTGTATTGATAGGTATTAACTAAAACATAGAATGTGAACATGATTTTCAAAGATTTGAAGAAGAGTTGATCTAATTTAAAATATTAGAAGTGAATCTCATTGAGTTTGTGTGATGCTTGATAAATCTCTATTATCATGAGTTAATAATTAATAAATAATATAATTTTAGTATTAACTCATGGTAAATAGACTTATATTTATGATAAATTATGAAAAATGGCTTTTATTTAGTTAATGTAATTTTTTGGTTAATTATGTGATTTTATGTGAATTTATATAATTTTTATAATCTTATTTTTGAGATAAATAAAGAAAAATAAAATATAATATAATAAAAAGATATAAAAAATAGAGAATTTGCTGGCCAATTAGGCTCACAAGTGGGTCAGAAGTGTAGTTGGGTGAAGCCACAAGTAGGGGCTCGAGTGACTAAGGGTTACCAATTAGGGGCAAGTGTGTGTCACTCCTCTTTGACGTCACTAGTGGCTAGCCGAGTGTGGGGCAAGGAATGGTCATACACATGTGAGAAAGGGACTCAATAATTCTCAAATCTCATATTATTATATATTCGTCTCAACATTCATTATATAATTAATGTGGGACTAAACTCTTTGGAATGTTTTAATAATTTTAATATATAAAATATTATTTATTTATAACACCGAGATACCATGTTGACATCATGATATAAGATTATTCGAGTACTTATTTTAATCTCTCATATAGGCACCTAGTTAATGTGGGTTCAAATCCTATTAGAGTCAAAATTCATATTTTTTATCTGATTAAATTATGATTTTCTTACAAATCACAAGTGAAGAATTAAGCTACCATAATTACTCAATCATTGTTGAAAATCTCATCAACACGATTTACAGAGCATCGTTACTAAATTTTTTGAATGATTCACAATAAAAAGATCACGAATCTGTCAAGTAAATCATCTCCAATTGATCAATGAACAAGTTATCATTAGGAAGAAGATGATTCATTAAGAGACAAGTCGTCACCTCTTAAGAGCATATCAAATGCGATAAAGAGTCTTCTCTTACTACGTGGACTTGAGAATGAAGTTCCTTAATATTTGTCTCACCTCCGTTCAACTCATCTCTATTGGATGACAACCATTAAAAAGCTATAATGTTGTCATCTTTTTACTCCACTAGGTGACAACCATCATAGATGATTTGACAATGCATTTCATTGATCTCTATATTTCAAAAAGATCTAGAGATTGCCTATGTCATTCTTATCCCTCCGAGATTGTGGATACTACATGACAATCCTCTTGAGTGTTTAAGATTTTGATATATTATTGACGCATCACCACTGCAAAGTCAGAACTTTATTTTATTATTTTTAATTAATTTAACTTTTTTCATTATTTTTTAGACTTAAAAAATAGATCCTTTGAGTGCCCATGTCGTCCATGTCCAAAGAGAGCTTTTGAGGCCATGGACATTGTTCGATGACCCTTCTAAATATGCAAAATTTTGATAATCGTTGTTGCGAGGTCGAAACTTTACCTTTCCTACTTTCAACTTAATTTTTACTTCAATTACTGATAATTTGTGTGATGTCAACTTTTTAAATTATTCTTCATTCAATTATAATTCTTTTGGTATTTATAAATTTTAATTTAACTAATTAAATCATCTATAATTGCTTACATAAGAATTGTCGAGTAGAACTTTATTTTTGCTCGATTTGTGTTTGTTGGGTGTTGATGTCATATTATTGTCTGCACCCATATTTATCTTTTTTGTGAATTATAAATATATTTTATTTTTATTTTTTAGTCTAAAATTTATTAAAAAATTATTTTTAAAAAAAACAATTGAATATTACTCGATATTATATTATATTCTTGTGATCAACATAAATTTTTTTATTATTTTTAAAACTTTTATTAAATTATAATTGATATATTTATTCAAAATACTTTAAATATCTAAAAACTAATATTTTTAATTTTATAAATTTTAAATTTGTGTGATTTATTATACAATGACTAAGTCACGTCAGTGCCT